GAAAAGATAGAAGGAAACACATGAGTTTTTACTCTTGGAATAGAAGGCACACATGTAAACACGCTATCTTGTCACACTACCAAACACAGTATCTTGTCATTGTTTCTAACTGGGGTTTGTCAGATTCATCTTTGTGCCCCCATTTAGTGGGAGTTTTCTGTCATCTCTGATTCCTTTTCCTTCACCACAGTGGCCCTTCTCCCAGATCTTAGCAAACAGCAATAGTATCCTAAATCCTTCTATCCGCTTTTACTAGCACCCTAGGCCCAATCAACATCCTTTTTGTCTTGACAACTGTAACTGTCTCTTAATAAGCAGCCCTGTCTCCAGTCTTGCTCATTTTGCACCCAATGATTAGAGATCACATCTTTCTCTCCTTAAAACTTTCCAATTGCTTCCTGCTGCATTTATTTATTTTAAGATTTTATTTATTTATTTGACAGAGAGAGAGAGCATAAGCAGGGAGAGTGGGAGAGGGAGAAGCAAGCTCCCCACTCAGCGGGGAGCCTGATGCGGGTCTCGATCCCAGGACCCCCGGGATCATGACCTGAGCCGAAGGCAGACGCTTAACGACTGAGCCACCCAGGCACTCCTTCCTGCTGCATTTAGAATAAAATCCAAACTCTTTGCCATGGCCTATAAAGACATACATGGTATGCCCCTGCCTACTTATCTGACATCGTCTCCTACTATTCTCCTCGGAGCTCACTACTTCCTCAGCCGTACTGGCTACCCGAAACATGCCTCCTAGCTCATTCATGCCCTACAGCCTTAGCCCTTGTTACTCCCTCTGTCCAGAATGCTCTTCTTCCTGAGCCTCACAAGGCTGACTCCTTCTTGTCAGTCAGGGTTCAGTTCGAATACTACTTTTTCAGAGAGCGCGCCAGTGGCCACCCTGCTTAAAAGCAGCCCACCAGCACTTAATCCATCATTTTGTTTTATGTTCTGACCACCGGTCACTATCTGGAGTCTTTGTTGTTGTTATCTCTCTCCCAGCACCAGCATATACGTTCCATGAGAGGAAGCTTGTCTGTCGTTCACTCCCGTATCCCAGATTGTGAAAGGGAGCCTGGCACAAGGTAGGCAGTCAATGTTTGCTGAGTGAGGCATTCTAGTAAAAAATGTCACCAAACAGAAGTCCCTGCGCATGGAAAGAACCAGTGGAGCGGTCACAGGAGTGATCGTTTCAGATCCGCGCCGCAGTCATCAATACCTTCCTCTTCTAGCTCCTCGCACATTCCGGAACCCCGGCCTCCCCACTCGCCCGACCCCAGGCCCAGTCCTCGCTCCCAGGGGGCCAGAGGCCGCTCTTACCGTCGGGTCGGAACTCAAACTCCAGGAACTCATGGCCGAATTTGCCCTTATGACCCACGTAGTAACGCAGATAAAAGTCACTCTCCATGGTTCACGAGGAGGGTACCAAGCCCAAACTTTACCAGCAAGCCCCACCGCCGCTGTTTGCGCCCACCACTGACGTTTACCTGGGCGCGCGGAAGTGACGTCAAGGCAAGGCCCTCGGCCGTGGCGAGGCAGCCCCGGTCGCCCCCATTCCCGGAAGTGGGGGAAGTCTGGCCCATTCCCCGGCGGAAACAAGGCTCCTTTCACCCGAGGGCGGGGTCAGTGGAGCCGTGCCCCGTCGGCCGGAGGCGGGAGCGAGGCTGAGGCTCAACACCCGGGGTTCTCGCAAGCTGGAGGCCGAAGGCGACTGGAGGACCCCTGGGTTCGGGCGGCGGGTCTGGAGACCTTGCTTCGAGACTTCCGGCTGAGCACGCCGAATGCTGCGCCCTTTCAGGCTCGACGTCCATTTAAGTACACCTGACTTGTGTGCGTCGGGCAAAGCTGATAACCGTCCCTGGACCTAGGTCTCGATAATAAAATGGGGTTAAATGAGCTGACCTCACAGAAAAAAAAAAAAAAAAAGGTTAAGTGACCTGACCCCACGGGGCTCAGCACACGATGTTTCAGAAGTTGGCTGCAACTGAACTTTGCTGTTTACGGACCAGTTCAAGGAAACTGTTCCCAGAGACGCTTTTCCCGAATCCACGGTGGAGATTGTCATTTCCCTGGAACTAATTTATCTCCCATTTTAGCCCTTTTAATCTTTATTTCTTTTTATTTCTACTTTTCCCTTTCTGCTTCACTGGTCTCTAGAGTAGGTGCTGTGAGTAGAAGTTAAACTGAATATTTAATTTCCCATTCTCGTTTTCTATGCACTGCTTACCCAGCAGTGATTCTCAGTCCTGGCTGCACAAATGGAATCATTTGGGAGCATCTTAAAAATACTGATGCTTGGGCCCCACCCCAAACCAATTAATCAGGTTCTCTTGCGGTGAACCTAGGCGTTGGTATGTTTTTGCAAAGCACCCCAGATGTGCTGCGATTGAGGACTGATGCCCAAGAGGCCCTTGTCTTTTCAGGCCAAAGTGGTTGACCTCTGTGAAGTCTTTCTGGCTGTGGAAAAATTTTCCTCCTTGAGTAGGCAAAGGACAATCAAAATCTTAATTATTAGAAGACTGCTTTAGCTCATCAAAGTTCCAACCAGAGGGGGGAAATGAAATCAGTTCTAGAGACAGTGCTGAGATGGCATCATTTTTGGGGCCTGGCTGCTAACTGTGTACTGTTCTGTATTGAGGTCAGTGGTCTCTTGATTCTCATTCCCAGTCTTACCATTACTCCTTTTATTCCCCCCCCGCCCCATAATGGGTAGCAGAGTGTAGAGTGGGTGCGAGAGGGGAAAATCACTGGAAGCTTGTGTTAAAATAATCCTTGTGCGACTTGATTCACTGTGACTGAAGGTGAACTGGTTAACATTTTGGACCTCAAGTTTATCTTTAAAATGAGAAAAATAATGTTATACATCTGGCAGGACTGTTGTAAAGATAGGAAACAGTATCTTGGAAATAGGAAAAATACTTTGCAAACTATAAACTGTTATAAAACCGTAAGGCATTTTATTAAAAAATACTGGGGGGATACCTGAGTGGCTCAGTCAGTTGAACATTGGACTCTTGATTTTGGCTCAGGTCATGATCTCGGGGTCCTGGGATCAAGCCCTGAATTGGGCTCTGCTCAGGGGGAGTCTGCTTGGAATCCTCTCCCTCTCTCTTTGCCCCTCCCCCTCACTCTCTCTCTCTAATAAATGAATAAATCTTAAAAAAAAGGAAACACTGGATATGGGTGGTAACAAGGGAATTGTATAAAAAAAGAGAAGGGAACCACCAGGTATTAAGCACCTAATAAATGTGAATCCATTTACAAATGTTTGTTCTTTGAATCCTCACAACAATCTTGAAGTGGTAATTGCAATTAAGTATATAGATTCATCAGGTAATTACCACGAAGTTATTGTCCAAGAGTGAAATTATAAAAATTATAAGGTGACTGCTGAATCTGAGCATCTGCAGATGTGGCAAATAACAAAAGTTTTGAGAAAATTTAAAGGACACTGGACTCCAGTCAGGCTGTAAAGTGATCCAGGTTTGGAGGCATGAGATAACATGGTATAGCTGAAAGAACACGGTCTGTGTATTTGATGTGCCTGAATTCAGCATAATTTACTGCGCTTTTACTGTGCTATGTGCTGGGAATACGATGGTGAGCAAGACAGACCTTTACAGAACTTGCAGAGGAGGCAATTAAGGAGCATACAAGAATTATAATGTAGAGATAAAGGTTACAAATAGGGGAAACACAGAATACTATGGAAGCACACAGGATGGTTCCTAATCCAATCGAGGGGCCTAAGGGAAGTCTTCCTGAAGGAAATATTCCAAATAGAGGGCCCAGACCGTGTGGTTGGAATACAGAATGAGGTTGTGCATATAGTAATGAGGTTGGAGAACAGGCAGAAGCCAAATGGCTTACAAGCCATATTAAAGAGTGTGGGCTAAAGCCCAAAGGTATTGGATTTTAATGCAAGGGAAACAGATGAAGAGCTTTAAGCAGGAAAGTAGAAAGGATGGTGGTGACATGACCTATTGCATTCTAGAAAAAATCACTCTGGCTGCAATATTGTAGAATAGATTGGAAAATGGAAAGATTAAAAGTATGAAGTTCAGGGGGCACCTGGGTGGCTCAGTCGTTAAGCGTCTACCTTTGGCTCAGGTCATGATCCCAGGGTCCTGGGATGGAGCCCCAAATCGGGCTCCCTGCTCCGCAGGAAGCCTGCCTCTCCCTCTCCCACTCCCCCTGCTTGTTTTCCCTCTCTCGCTGTGTCTGTCAAGTAAATAAATAAAATCTTAAAAAAAAAAGTATGAAGTTCAGATATGTAGTTGCTAATCTATGATGATGATCGTCCAAGATAATGGTAACCTGTACTCAGGTAGTGGCAATGGAGATGATAAATGTGGATGGATTTGAGACAAGACACCATAATGTAAGGGGCGGCGAAGGAGATTAAGATGTAGCCAGAGAGGTAGGAAAAAACCAGGAATATGGTGTCATGTGAACCAAAATAAGAGTATTTCAAGAAAGAGTGCCAACAATGTTAAATACTTCTCCCAGGTCAAGGAAGATAAAGACTGAAAATATTTATAAGATTTATAAACAAGGAGGTCTTTGGTAAAAGCAACCTCAGTGGCCTGGAAGCGGAGGCAGGACAGAAGTATTGGTATGCAAATAGGCAAAATTTGTTGTGGAAGCAGAAACTACCTAACCCTAGGAGTTAGGTGTGAGTCTGAGAATGGAGGATTTGTGGAGGAAGAGTCTTAAGCGGAGTATCAAGGACAAGCAGGAGTGAGCCCGATGAAGAGGCAGAGAATGCTGCATGTAGCATGCGCTGAAGGTACTTTGGGGATACTAAATGTAACCATGAGACTTTGGGTAGTTCCTTCACCCATTTCCTCATCTACAGAATAGGAACAATATTATTGATAGTATTTATTTCATAGGATTGTTGAAGGCTAAAATAATTTATGTTGAATACTGGGTACACATTAGGGGCTCAATCAATGATAGCTTACCCTCCCACCCCTCATTAAAGCATCACAATGAAACAACACTTCAGATTTTAAAAAATGAATTTAATCTCTCTCTAGAAACAGTGCACTGATTTTACAAATGTTCACGTTTGGTTTTTCGTTCACCAAGATGATGTCAGTATAGCTAGTGAGATGCAGCACGCCACCCTCTGCTTCTGGAACAAAAACCAGACTGCAAAGGGCACTGAGTACAGAAGCTAATGAAACTCGGAATGACAAGACAAAAAGAGCAGAAACCGTTAGTGTGACCCAACATTCTAACATGCCTGTTACATCAAATATGGTCATTTGAGGGTGTTGGGGGGAAGACAAACAAGGAAAATTCATTTGGGTACAATGTGATGGAGTCTGCAAACCAGTACTTCACCCCCAAATGAACAACAGCTGTAGAGAACAAAATGCTACTTTAAAACACATGGTTCGTACAGGTATGTTTTCTCTTGTAGTTTTTGTAAAAAAGTATCAAAACCTTCATGTTTTTAAATATATATATACATATACAGGTGGCTTTTTTAAAATTACTTTTTATAGCACAAAGTGTTTGCAAATGCAGAGGGTTTCTGCTGATTCTTGACTATGCACATGGTGCATAGCCTGAATGAACAGAGCTTCCTGATTTCTTATATTAACTGAAAATTTGAAGCTGTAATTCCTCCACCTCTAAGTTCTCTGTATCCTGAAAATCCCCAATACCTTAAAAATACAGTGTGAGAAGACTCCGATACTCCTATCTTCATGCATTGATGGGAAAGGAAGTTATTTACTCTGAATGTTTTCATTCCTAACTCATTAATATTCTGTGAAATAGTACGGCTGGAGTTAGGGAGAGGAATGAGGCTCACATTCCTGTGCTCTCTCCCAACTCCCACCAGCACCTGACTAGACAGTGCTTGGGGTTCCCTCTGCAGACTACCCATCTCCAAAATTTCGTTTTCTCGGTGTTGAGAAAATCGCAGAGGCTCTTGACAACATGGAGTGCTTCTGTGAAAATCCCATTACCCTTATATTCAAAAAAGGGTCAACTCAAACATATGAAACACAGTCACTATTTCCCTTTGGCCACTGGAAAGCTGGAGGCTAAAGACTGTCATGTCTGCAAAGTGCTGGCGATGCATCCTGATGAACTCTCCATGATGCCCTTGGTGCCTCGTACACAATAAATGACTAAGAAATGTTTGCATAATTGAATCAGAAATTAAACATAAGTATTCTATAAAGTGCTTACATTGAACCTGTCTTTCCATTCAGCCTCATTTCTTGCTAAGTCCCCCTTGAGCCTTTTGCTCATTACAATGAATTACATGCAGTTCCTTCCAGTCCCCATGCTGTTTCATGTCTCCGTGTCCTCCTCTGCCTGGGGCAGCCCGGACACCCCGACTTAGTTTTCAAGACTTAGTATAAGGTCACTTCCACAATGCCTTTCTTGACCCCATTCATTATCTCCTTATGTAGAAATGACCTCTCTCTCCTTTGTGCCTTAAGAGTACTCTGAAAAGAATCTATTCCTTTTTTGTTTCCACAGGTCCTCCTCTACTGTTAGTGAACTCTGTAAGGACAGAAAACACTTGAGTGACCCGTCCATCTGCAGTGCCCGGCACTTAGTTGGTACCTGGCAAATGGTTTCAGTGAATGGATATACTGCAATCACAGAGAAAATTGGAAGGATCATAGTACTTATTGCCATAAATTTAATTCCGATCTCATCTTGAGGTTAAAGGTTACCTCAAACTATTTTATAAATAATCAGGCTATCAAGAGTAAATAAATAAAATTTTAGTTTTCTGTTTCTGGGAGGCTATTTCTACCAGCGTCTTCATAATTCCACTGGAAAGATAGGCCAGTAGATAGCAGGTTTGGTACAATGTTCAGGCAGCCCAAAGTAGTCTCCTAGAGAAGGAAAGGAAAGAAAAGGTCTGGGACCAGTTTCTTTTAAACAGAGAAAAAAAATGTCTGATAAATCTTCTACCCTCCTGGCCTCATGTCTAGGTTTCCTTCTGGCTCTACAGTCCGATGACTCTATGATCTGTTATTGGCTGTAGGTATATGACAGCACAGGGGCAAAAGGCAACAGAAATGCAATTATACCTCAAAATGAGGTTCAGAAGCCTCCAAGACTAGAGAGGGAGGATGGACCTGGCCTCCTCAGATTTCATCTTATTGACTACCATCGGACACGTGAGGACTCTGCAGTTGGTCTTCCGTAGCTTGCTTCCGTAGCCGCCTCTTCCAAACTGCAGCTGTAGCATATTCAGGAAACATGGATGTCTCTGAGAAAGTTGTGTCTCATCATCCTTTTGAGATCTCAGGCTGAACCATCCTGACTCCATTTTTTTTGTTTTGTTTTTTTCTGGGAAGGGCAGGATCTGACTGACAGTTTAGAAACTACACATTAGTCACCGTTCTCATTTCCCCAGGGAATTCTATTTCTTTGAGACGGGTCATAGAAAAAGTTGCTTGTTTCGTGTAAATCTCAATGTTTTTGTCATTTTTCTCCAGTCAAAAATAATTTTACTTTCCATTCTTGAAAGAATAGTAGTAAGTGATTAAGCTCCATAGGAGTTGGCCACCTGTTCTTAAAATCCTATTTGGTATTGGTCTTTAGGTCAATTGCCTCTCAATGAATGTTTCAGGACTACAACACATGCATATCGTGAGGAAATTGCTTGTTTATGCAGAGCATAGGGCCAAGGCTCCAGAACACAGTTGTTTTTCTCGGAAGTGAGGAGATCATGAGTGACGTGAAGAAAGGTTCTAGGAGCAGGGTTATAGAACTCCCGAATGCCTGCCTGGAAATGCGAAGGATATCAAGCTGGTGAGATATCCAAGCTTCACTGAGTTGGGGGCTGCTGAGGGGAGGGGTGTCAGAATTTGTTCAGTTTGTTCACATGTCTTGTCCCTGGCTGTCTGGTGGGAGTGAAGTGGCAGAACAGCAGAGTTAAGAAAAGATCAGATCTTGGAAGAGAGAGCTGGTGGGGACAGAATTCCGTCTGGGATGGTAGGAGTATGTTTTCAATGGCAGACCCCACAAAGAGAAAAGAGCACTTCTCCCACCTCTCCCAACGCCCAGGAAAAACAAAGAAAAGTGTCCATAATGAAAAAAAAATCTATACATATACCCAGAGTTTTTCCTTTTATTTACAAAGTAGTAAACCAAATCCCTGTGTGAACATATATATCCAATATACGATAATGTTGTATATGCCATTTCCCCCTTGTAGGACTTCAAGTTTGGCCACTTTCTCTGACTTCAGCCAAAAGCTACTTTCATCTAAATGAACACATGATGGTAGCAAGCCTATGTTGTTTCCCCCACTTACAGGAAATGGCAGAGAGGAAGGGAAAGGGAAAGGGAGAAATAGAGATATAACAGAACCTATTCCACTGTCCTTATCCTCACCCACTGCCAATCTCAGAGGTTCAGTGCCTGAGCCAGTCTCTACAGGAAACTTGGGCTGTTCTAGAAATGTCTCCACTTAGCTCTCCACGAGTAAGGATGGCACCCTAGGAGTGCTTCAGAGGAAACATAATGAATTCAACCCAAGCATCCTGAAGGAAAAGGAAGTTACTTGAAATGCCGAACTTTAAAACAAGGAGCCGAGGTTCGGGCGTATTCTCGCCTGAGCTCACAAGAACTTCTGGCACCGTGTGAAGTCTGTGCACTGGCCCCAGCCACAGAAGAGAAAGCCCGAGTGGGAGTCCCAGCAGCCATAGGGGAACTGAAAGGCTATGCCTGATGGACTAGGATCCCAGGAGTTCCCAGAGGTGGAAAAGATCTGCCTCTTCCACTATGTGTTTACACAAACCACGGCACCCATTTTTTTTGAGCCAAATTTCCAAAGGCTTCTCTGAAAACTACAGATACCCCTCCATGGACTGTTTCCCCATGTTCTTCTCTGTATGGATTCGAACAGCCCCAGGTGCGCCTCTTCTCTACAGATCTGTCTCTCTCACACACATACACATAGAAACGTAAACGCACACAGAGTCTGCATGGTGGGCCAATCATACCAAAAATAAATACTCTTGTGTCTCTAAATTATTTATAGGACTAATCTTATTTTTTGAAATATGTTAATAAATAATCTAAGTGGGGGAGGGAGTTGAAGTGTTTTCTCCTTTTTTTCACTTATGTTGATGGATAGCCACAAAGCATAATCATTTTATATACTAAAAAAAAAAAAAAAATCAAACCCAAAACTGCAAAATCTAAAAAAGCTCCCCCCAAACCAAATACTCTCTGTAAATATAGTTTTAAAATGATGAGTAAGCTACTGTACCATCAGCCCCATTTGGTTATGTACATCATGTTAGTCACTCAGCAGTAGCCATTCCATGAAATCCTCATGGGTAGTGCAACCAGTTAAAAAGTGTATAAAACATTATACATATAAAAACTCTCACATCCTTTGGATGTTTGCAGTTCATCACAACTTTGTGGTTACCTTTCCGCAACATAAATTAAAAAGAAATCTCACACACACACACACACACACACACCCACCCATACACAGAAACCCCTTCATCCAGGCATACACCATCCAGAGAGTGTAGTGCATGGGACTGAATTCCATGAGGCACGAAGGGAGTGGTCCCATCCTCAGGGCAGTCCATCATCTTCAAGGCTTAATGCCACTCGCTGGGGAGACAGAGCAAAGAAATCACCATTAGACCCACAGGAGTGATTTACTGAGTCCCCACCAGGCAGCAGACATTCTATGACTTTATAGGCATTAGCTCCCATAATCTTCATACTAGCCCAAGAGACAGGTTTGTCATATTTATTTTACAGATGAGGAAACGGAGACTCAATGAGCTTTAACATTTGTCCTGGATCACATAGCAAGTGGGTGAACTAAAATTTGAACCCAGACCTGTGTGAATCCAGAGCTGTTGCTCTCTCCATCATTCTCTTCTACCTCGTTGTCAAGGAGTGCTGGGGAGATCTCAAGTTTCTCAGTCCTTCCTTAGAGGATTTTAGGTTTTTTCAACATTAGTGGGTTAGCTCTGGCAAATGTTTAATACCAGGCCATTAGCTACTTGTCTCTAGCTTGTGAGTCACAATTAGGCAGGCGATCCGCTGCAACCCTCTTAACTGATTATACAGAATCGGAAGGCAATACAGGTCAATTAAATTCAATTCCTCTTTCCCTCAACCCTACTTTTTAGTCATTAGATGCTAGACTTCCCCTGTCACAAATGGCTGACCGTTAGTGGGCTGAGCCCATTAACCCCTGAGCTGGTCTATTCCATTGGAAGAGTGGACAGTGGACTTAACCTCTTTCCTCTACTGACAAGAAATCTCTTTCTCTAAATATTCCGATGTTCCCCGGTTCTCTTAGACTCAAGAGAGTTCTATACAGACAACCCTTGAAATCTGCAGACAGTGTCTGAGTTCCCTTCCTTTCCTTCTGAGTGTTTTCTCCTCCAGGCTACACATCTAGCTTTCCCCAACTGGGTCTGTTGTAATCCTGTTTCCCACTTTTCCATTTCCTGGGTACACTCCTTTGGGCAGACCCCGGTGTTTCAATATCTTCCTCCTAGCTAAGTGAATTTGGGCTAACCACTTTACCTCTCTGAGCCTTGGTTTTACCATCTGTCAGATGGGAGTAAGAACAGGACCTACCACATAGAGTTGTTGAGGAACCAAACGAGAGCATCTCTGTAGAGTGCTTAACACACGTGGGGTCCAGAGTATTCTAGATCAACCTGGCCAGCATAATAAAATAGAACCAGACTAGCATTTCCCATCTGTGGACAGGCTACAGACAATAAAAAGTGACCCCACTACCTTTCAAATCATCTTTGGGTTATTTGTGGTTTTGCGTGAATGCCATGGCCTTGCTTTACCAGCATAGACACATAGAGACAATGAGACTCTCTTCTTCTAGTCCGGTTACCCTCCCTCTCTCTCCAGGACAGATCTCTAGACCAAAGGCAGTGATGGTGGAGCTACCTGAGAAAAGGACAGCGAGGAGAACAGGTTGTTGAGGATACTGATTCTCAGAGCTCCCAGGCTATTTACCCCATGATGTAAGTGGAAAGAGCATGGACTTTTGTGTACATACAGCCTGGAGTTTTTGTCCTGGTTCTTCCACTTCTTAGTGGTGACCCTAGGCAAGTTACTCAAATTCTCTAGTCTCAGTTTCCTCATCTGCAAAATGGGGCTAATCATATCAACTTTATAAAGTTGCTGTGAAGACTACACAAGGAAATGTACATCAAACACCAAGCGGTGTCTGACACACAGGAGGTTCCCACTAAATGTCCATTTCCTCCCTTTCCTACTCTATTTCTCTGCAGCCGGCAGGAGCTTATTCCTCGGGCCTTAGATGCCTCAGGAATGGCTCCTCCAGAGGCGTTATTTGCTCCTTGGGACACAGCGCCACTTGACGCGTGTAGAGTGCTTTGTAACTCACAAAAGCTCTCGCACACGTGCTGTCTCACCTGAACGCTATGAATTTAGGAAGCAGATAGAATGGGGGTTATCATTCTTACTTTACAAATAGAAGTGAGCAGAGAGAAGTGACTAAGGCCACAAGGCTACGGAGCAGTGAAACTGGGAGCCACCTCCTCAGGCTAAGCTCAACGCTTCTTCCACTGCCCCCCACCCCCAATCTGTAAAACTTGGTCAAGCACCTATTTGTGTGATTGGCCGAGGTTAAGTCTCAAGGCCATCTGCCAGCCCTCCTCACTTGCTCAACTTCATTTCCTATGCCTCCCCTTCATGAATAATGTGCTTCCACGGCAAGGCAGTCTGCTCTGCCCCATACGCGATCGTTTCTTCCTCGGGCCACTTCCTCGGTCTACAGTGAACTCCTCTTTCCTCTTTGCCCCAACACCCAGCTTACAATTTGCAGCCTTCCAGGACCAGAACGCCTTCTAGGATGGGCCGCACCTGCCTAGGCTCACGCCCTCACTCACCAGCCCCTCAGACTCGGAGTGGCGCTGCCCTACCTTGCACTTGACGACAGGCAGCTCGGAAAGAGGGTTCTTCGGGAGTTGGTGCGGCTGTGACCTTGGTTCCCCCGGCAAGACAAAAAGCTCCTTGAGGGCAGGGGCTGGGTCTTCCAGTTCTCTGGTCTCCCCAAGACAGGGCTCTGCCCACAGTGGGTGATCAAAGCTGCTGATTGCCTGACAGGGGGATGGACTGGATGACCTAGGAGGTCACACTCAGCCCCCTGACTCTGCTATACAACCACGACATCCGCTCCACACACTTGGCGGTCCTCGCTCCCCCAACAAGCCAGGCCCTATTGTACCCCTCAGCCTTTGCACCTGCTTCTTTCTGGAATGCCATTTTCCTCCTTCTCTTGCTGAAAAACTGCTATTAACCTCTCAAGGATACAGTTCATCTATCACAGCCTCTGGGAGACATTCCCTGCCTGGTTTCCCAAACAGAATTAACAGCTCCCTTGTTGATGGTCCCTCAGCGTTTGCTCAGCAAATATGTACTGGCTCCAGTACGCTATGCTGTGCTGGGCCCCAGGGAAACAGATGAATTCAACGATCCTGGCCTCAAGGAGTTCACGGTCTAGTGGGGAGACCAATGAGCAAAAAGACAAGTTGACTACAGTGTGACAGGTGCTGGGACGGAGAGAGGCTGTGGAAGAACAGAGAAACCAGGGAAAGCTTCCTGGAAGAGACTCCTGAGCTCCACCAATGCACTCGCACACAGCTGTCCGACAGTAAGTGACTCTCACCCACCCCCCCCAGCTCCTCGGAAGTGGGTACATTGCTTCCTTCCTTGTGCACAGCGCATATCCGGGACAGCGCTGGGCTTGCAGCCAGCACACAGTGTTTGTGTGAAATGAACACATCTCAATCGCATGGCCACAGTTACCCTTCCAGGCCAAAGGTTCTGAAAACGTACTCAGCAGAAAGAAAGACGTTTGGTTTCTTTACCCTAGGAACAGCCTCTAGCTACGAGGTGGTCCTGATACATTTCCACCCCAACCACCTGCCCCAGCATTTCTGTGTCCCCAGGGCCTAGAATAGTGTCTGGCGCATGGTAGGTTCTTGATAAATGTTGGAAGGAAGGAGGTAGGGAGAGAGGGAGGGAGGAAGGAAGGAAGGAAGGAAGGAAGGAAGGAAGGAAGGAAGGGAGAAGGAAGGAATTCTTCCAGCAAGGGATACTTACTGCAGGATAGACATGGCCAATCTGAGCAGTCCTCCCTATGTGGAGCTCATCTTCGTCCTCTTCTTCCGTTGTTTTCCTGTACACCGGGTTGTCGAAATTCATGCTTTTGGTGTTCTTCCGCTTCCAGTTTCTCCAGATCAGGTAGCCACTCATGCACAGCATGGCTATTACCGCTGGAGAAAGGGACACAGCACACTGAACTTCCAGTAGGCTCTAGCCCATTGCTCAGATGTCAGGGCATTTCTCGCCCCCTCTCCAACTTTCCTGCCCCTTGTTCCTCAGGTGGTTCTGCATGTCCTTTTTCTGCTGCTTGGAAGCCCTGCTCCTGTATCTTCCTTTATTAACTGCCCATCTTCCAAGACCCAGCTCAAACGCAAAGTCTCCTCTGCTTCTAGAGGAACAGTCAGCTGCTCCCTCCTGTGTGCCCCCAGCCCACGGTACTGTACTTTATACGTGTGTGTACCCCCAACCAGACTGAGCTCTTTGTGGGCACGGACTGTGTCTTCATCGCTCTGCCTCGCTCAGTAACGTGTACTGAGTGAATGAGTGAATTTCTTCACCACACCTTCGTCCTAACGCTGCGGCTTCCTTGGAATTCTCTGAGAAAACCATTCTCTCCCCAGATGGAGGGTGGATGGTGGGCTGGGGCTCTGCAAGAAGAGGAGCATCTCTAGAAGGGGACACAGCAGGGAGACACCGGCTCTGCCGTGCAACTGATGAACATATGAATGAGTAAAGGAGGACATTCTCTAACACAGCTGGGCAAAAATGGGGCAAGCAGCTTCACAAGATAGTAGGGGATCACCGTGAGCTTTCAAGTGGAGGCTGATGACAGCTATCCAGGCTGCTCGAGAGGGACTTTTTTACTTTGGTAAGCCTGTGATCATTGATACTCATTAAAGACAGGAACAAGGCCAGGACACCTGTCACCACCGCTACTGTTTATTGTTCCAGAGACCTAGCTCTGGCGTGAGACCAGATCAGGAATGGAAGAAGACACACAGGGGAGAGGGAGAAACCAAAGTGTTAGTATTATCAGTTCCATATGTTCAGAAAATCTTGGAAAAGCAGATGAAAAACTATTAGAAATAACTTCAGTTCATCAAGAATTAACAAAAAAGGCAATAGCTTTCTTATTAATCAGCAATAACCAATTAGAAAATGGAATGGGATAAGAACACATTCACAGTAGCTTAACGAAAAACTATAAAATACCTGGAATAACCTAACAAGAATTGTGCAAGTCCTATTTGATCTATACAATTTTACAGAAGGATATAAAAGAAGGCTCAAGTAAATTGGGAGAAGTGTCATGTTCCTGGATGGGAAGCTTCGATATTGTAAAAATGTGAATGCTCCCCACATCAACTTATACATCCAAAGACTAAGATTTCATCATTAAGATGATTCTAAAGTTTATCTAGAAGAGAAGTTGAAAAAAAAAAATCTAAGAAAATATTGCAAGAACAATAATGCTCTATTAGGTATTAAAACCTAGCGTGAAGTTGTTCTTGCAGTATATAGGAACAGACAGATAATTGGTGAAGGACAATGAACATCCCAGAAGCAGATCAAAGTATGGATAGGCATGTAGTTTATAATAAAGATGACAATTCAAATCAGAGGAAGGGATTATTCAATAATGGTCTTGGGAAAATGAAAGAGGCCAGTAGAAAAAAAATAGTTAAATCTCTACATCACAGCATACTCTAAAATAAATTCCAAATGGGTTGCTGTCTAAATATAAAATAATATTTAGTAGAAAAATATATGGGGAGATATTTTAATAATTTACAGTGAGGCAGACCTTCCTAAGCAAAACACGAAACCCAAAAATCGTAACATGAAAGATGAACAGATCGGATACTTAAAATTTTTAAATTTATGTGTGGCAAAAAGAAGCACAAATATATTTAAAAATCAAGTGGGAGTATGGAAGAGAATATCTGTAACGTATATTACAAAGGTTTATTTATTTATTTATTTGAAGATTTTATTTATTTATTAGACAGAGAGAGACACAGCGAGAGAGGGAACACAAGCAGGGGGAGTGGGAGAGGGAGAAGCAGGCCTCCTGCTGAGCAGGGAGCCCCATGTGGGGCTCGAACCCAGGACCCTGGGATCATGACCTGAGCCGAAGGTAGACGCTTAACAACTGAGCCACCCAGGCACCCCTATATTACAAAGGTTTAATATTCATTATGTATAAATATTTCTACAAATAAGAATAAGATCCAGAACCAACAGAAAAACCAGACAAGACTAGGAATAAGCAATGCATTAAGGAGGAAATGTAAATGGCCATTAAGCTTATGAAAAGATACTCTACCTCATAGGGAAATGCCAGGGAAGGAATACTCATCTTTCACCCCTCAGAAGAGCAGAAATTAAAACTATTAATTATATCGGAGGGGGTTCTATCAGGGAAACAGAGTACACAAGCCCTTCTATCGAGTACAGGATGGCAGGAAAGGGCTTCTCTTTCATTAAACAATGTTCAGGGTATTTTCCGCTTACTCTACTCAAAATCAGCCCGCCACAGTCTCCCCATCATCTTTCCTGTTAAAGCCTTTCAAGGCCAATTCAAACGGCATCTTCTCGGGAAGTACCACTCCCTCTCCTCCGCAGGGCATCACGCTGCTCTTACAGCATGGTGTAATACACATTAACACCACTCCTGCATCACTTTTTTTTTTTTT